AGAATTACCTGCACATATTCCTGCATGAGGCCAATGTGGCTAATAATTTGGGCTTTTTCTATTTGCATCTGTCTCCTGATGCAGTGAAAGGCTAATTAGGAAGCCAAAATACTTTCAAAGAGGCCATTTTCAACATTTTTTGGATTTGCACATTTCCAAAATACAACATGACCTTTTCCTTTTTTGCAGTTTGTCAAGTACATTTTGTAAAACACAGTAAAGAATCCTATACTCACAGGCCCATTGCAAGCACAAATTGACTGAGTAATGTGGCAGCTGATTCAACAGGAACTTATTACTCTTGCAATAAGAGAAGAGTTACATTTCCTTATTCTTTGTGTTACAGGTGATTTTGAACATGATTTCAAGTGGCTGAAGCCAGTAAAAGAACAATTGTGGTCTGCCTGCTGTCCTTTTCTCCACTGTCTTCCCACTGAACTCCTTTAGGTCAAACAAGGACTGAGCTTTCTGCCTATTTCTTTTCTCAGTTGCAGATGTATTGAGACCAGGGATATCACGTGGAACTTTGAACAGTCCATCTCTGCTCTCACACTGTGACATCTATTATGGCATAAGAGATGAAAGCAATAAAACCAGAGCCTGAATTACATCTTTATCATAGTTGTACATTACTTGGCCCACTGGATGCAGGTTGGGAATGAATCTGTGAGCAATACAAAATTGCTGCATCAATTACCACTTTTCTTTATTTTGCTTTAGTCTCAAACTGCCGGCATATTTTCTTCCCTTTGAACAGCAACTGCATATGATATTCTGGATGCATATAAAGCCATCACGGTCATAGTAGTAAAATTATGAGTTAGCTCGGTTGTAACTGTTCTTTTTGGGTTGTGGCTTCCTGTGCATTTGAGGGCTATGTATGTCTTCATACAAACGGAAAGGAATCATCCAGCCCATTTTCCTCCTACCTCAAATCAATTTTTGTTAGGAAATTACTGTAGCTAATTTCCAGTTTAGTTTGCACCTGGATCAATCTTAGCTAATCTTTGCATCTAGATCAGAGCAAAGACACAGCTGCTCAGTCCATCTAGCGAAAGTATAGTTGGTACTATGTATTGAATATTAGCAAAGATTAGAAATAGTTTAACTGGCAACAATTGGATAAAAGGCAAAGACAGGGAGAAAGAAAAATATCAAGCAACTATTTACATTTGTAACTGAACCTTTAAACTGCAATTCAGAGCAAGTTTACCAGAGAACAATGGAAGTGTAAGAAAAAATAATAAATTTTAAAGAATTAGCCTGGGCAAAGAGCTACTTATGTAATTTTCTTTAAATATCACATATTTTTGCTGTACATTGTGCTCATTCTGGCTGGCAAATCATACAATCTGAAAAAAGTAAAATATTACTTTAACTTTATTTTTAAAAGGAAGATATCAGATCCATGTGATTCCTTATGGATAGTCATGATTTGTATATGAGTGCCATCTGAGACCACTATCAAAGCACAGATCACAGCTATCTGCAAAGAATGAGCAATAGTCACTATTCTAAATAATTTTCATTCCATTATTACCTATAATTCTGCTGTTCTTGTCTAAAAATAATCGGATGGGGGATTTTTAAAACTCACTTTATTTAGTTTGATGTGATATGTTTTAATAGTACTTTCAGATGGATCCTGTGTACAATTGGGAGGGTTCAAGCTATTTTCCAAAGCGCCTGGAGGCAGGACAAGAAGCAACGGGTGGAAACTAATCAAGGAGAGAAGCAATCTAGAACTAAGGAGAAACTTCCTGACAGTGAGAACAATTAACCAGTGGAACAACCTGCCTCCAGAAGCGGTGAATGCTCCAACACTGGAAATTTTTAAGAAGAGACTGGACAGCCATTTGTCCGAAATGGTA